TGTTTTCTATTATTTCTATTATTCTATTCATAATATTATTCTACTTTATGACGAACGACATACGTGTGTGTGTGTGTGTGCGTGTGCGTGTGTGGTCTTGCGTAATATTTTCTATGATGGTTAAAATATTGCATTTGTTCCAACTGTGGAAGTTGTGAGGTAAGAAATTATGTTTGAATGCGCATGCAAACAAAACTTTGAAGATTAGATGGGTTAATTAGTCATTAATGAATTCGTAATTTGTAATTATATAACACTTCAGATCACCATTACTGATGTATAATCAGCGACGTGTGATAGCTGATGTCAGCTATCACACCCCATATGTGTGTGTGTGTGTGTGTGTGTGTGTGTGTGTGTGTGTGTGTGTGTGTGTGTGTGTGTGTGTGTGTGTGTGTGTGTGTGTGCGTGCATGCGTGCGTGCACTTCTGTCCACTGTGAACAACCAGGAATTTATGAGGAAGAAGTTTATTGAGGAGGAGAGATACAGAGACACAGAGAAAAATAATCAGCTGATTCCCCAGTTGTACTCCACGCCCTCTGTTGCCCTATGCTGCTGGACAGCGCCATTCACATCCACGGGAAACACTTTGTCTGTCCATCTCTCGATCTTCCAATTGCATGATTCTCTTTCTATAATTAGCTTTGGCAATCCAGAATCGTAAATCCCTGCCAGTAAGGCAGTCTAGAGAAGAGAGCATTTAGTGATAATAGAGACACAGATAAACAAGTAAAGCGCTAGGATTCTTTAAATGAGGTCATTACAGGGTACAGTACCACCTTATCATTAACCTATATACATATCAGCACACAGTTTTCAATAGAGAAGACAGGCCCACGTATACGATAAACACACCGACAGAGAGCACTTGAACACTGACGATACCGCCTTAAGGAGCAGGAGACGGATGCTGACTGAACCATAACCTTAAGAGCAGAAGAAGACAGGTAAAGGTGTGTGTGTGTGTGTGTGGGGGGGGGGGGGGGGGGTGGCGTGGTTTCGTATCGAGCACGGGGTTGCATTATTATTCACACCTGAGCAGCGGAGAGCTAAACTGAAATATCACCATGGTTACGTATTGCACTCACAGAGGGGCTTGAGTTTTGTTTTTTCTTCCCTCATTACATTAGTTGTATTTTTGTATTTTTTTTTTGTCAGTCAGCATCTGAATGGCCTCCTTTAGGTGGGCCAACTTGACCGGTAATACAGTGAACACCAATGGCATTGGAGAGGGGTGGGGGGTGGTGGTTAAAGGTATGGTCAGCGATTTTCGGGAAAGATGGTTGAAATTAGAACTCAACAGCAAAACAAATACACACACCCGTCAGTCTCTTTACTGTCACTCTCGCTCCTACCACTCGCCCCCCCCCCCCCCCCCCCCCCCCCCCCCCCCCACCCCCCGCACGCGGCCGATTGGCTGGAATGGCTCGGTCCGAGCCACTTTGTTTGTTTCCCATTCACAGATCCTGGGCTGTGTGTAAACACTGTATTTTTTTTTATAACACACACACAGAACGGGCAGCTAGTGGGCCGTGAGGAGATAGTCGCTGAATTTGACAAAAAGTGCATTGGATTAGGATCGCTGACTATACCTTTAAAATGCATTGTAGAGCTGAGTTTCCACAGCTGCTCCTCAGCCTGGCTATGTGTGTATGGCTGCTACTACGACACAGGAACTCACACACGCATAAAAAAGTCCAACATTAAAGTCACCCCAGGTGAGGTTGTATGATTCCTTATCATCATCATCATCATTATTATTATTATTATTATTATTGGTATTATTTTTATTATTAGTAGTAGTAGAAGTAGTAGTAGTAGTAGTAGTTGTAGTAGTAGTAACAGATTCGACCATGAAAACAAATACTTAACTTAAAACGCCGACAAACGTGCAGACAGACAATACATGCACACGTGTCCTTGCGTACTCGCACACACACACACACACACACACACATATATGTGTTATTTACACACACACACGCAGACATACACATGCGCAAACGCACACCCGCACACACACACACACATCCACACACAAACACGTACATACTAAGATACAACTTTAGTTCCTAAGAGAATATCACGCCATTAATAAACACATAGTGGTGGTGGTCTGGGAGTGGGTGGGCTGGTGTGTATTGTATACAATAAATAATACAGTGCTAAAACAATTACTCTTGACCTACACATAGGCAAATCCACGGCCCGCCCGTGGTTCACATACACACTAACTGACGCACGGAACACACACACGCTCACACACACTTGACAGACACACGCACACTCTCCACACACGTTCTCCACACACACACACACACACACACACACACATACTTTCACATGCAATAAAAGCAGTGTGTGTGCCATGCTCCATCTTGGTTTAAGTCGGGCAGTGCCACTGCTGAGCATATATCCATGAAGAAGCGCTGAGGGTGGAGTAGGGTGGGGTGGGGGGTGGGTTGCATGGGGAAGTGGGGTGAGGGGGGGGGGGGGGGGGGGGACTGTGAGAAGCTAAAAACCCCGGAGAGAGAGAGAAAGAGAGAGAGAGCGAGAGAGAGAGACCACAGCCAAGTAGAACAAGCGTACGCACGTACACATACACCACAACACGCACGAGTACAATACTGTACACTGATATATGGATCTGGCAGGGGTCAAGGGTCGAAGCTCAGATGTGTGTGTGTGTGTGTGTGTGTGTGTTTGTATGTTTGTGTGTGTGTGTGTGTGTGTGTGTGTGTGTGTGTGTGTGCACTACAGGGAAGAGAGGGAGCGGGAGAGAGAGCATAGCTATGGCTGAGAGAGAGGGTGGGGTGGGGGTTCTTATCAGGGTGCATAAGGGAACGACGAGGAGGAGAGTGGAGGCCCAATATGCAGACGCTGTCTCCATGGTGATTAGGGCGGAGCTTGTCTTGTTGGGGAGGGTGGGGGCCGCCGGCTGGGGGGGGGTTGGTAGTTACAGAATGAAGGTAACAAAAGAAAGAAGGGATGAACAGAGAGATGGAGAGAGAGAGAGAGAGAGAGAGAGAGAGAGAGAGAGAGAGAGAGAGAGGGAATAGATTGGATTAGTATTTATTCAAGCTAAAGTGGCAATTATATTAAGGACTATATAAAAAATATAAATATTAAAAAAAAGGGAAATCATTGTTCACTTGCTGAATATGCAGCTGAGGCAAAAGCTACACAATGAACAAACTTCTTATCTCCCATTGCTACCGTGCTAACGTTGCCACCCGTGCTAACGTTGCTAACATTTCTAACAGTGCTAACATTGCTAACTGAGCTAAATGGTCTACCTGTGCTAACGTTGCTAACATTGCTAGCGGCGCTAACAGCGCTAACGGCGCTACCTGTGGGGCTGCTGGTCTCACCTGGGGATGCTAGGGGGCGCCCGGTTGGGGCGGCTGGGAGCCTGGGGGCTCTCTGCGTTATTGAAGGGGCCCAGGGGCCCCGGGCGGTTTGGGGGCGGAGGGGCCCCCCGGGGGGCCGGGCGCTGGCCAGAAGACATCCTCCTGGGGGCGGTGGGGCTTGGAGGAGGAGACCTGGAGCAAGGGGTGGGAGGGACATTTAGTACCGCTGAACATCAAGGCTGAGGAATTCATAGCATAGTGAGCATACGTAGAACTCACTATGCACCAAAATCATTTATTTTAACCCTTTTTTCTCTTGATGTCCTTTAATATATTAATCTCTGAGGATTCGTTTTTTTTAATAGTTTGATCACTTTTATCAATTTGATCGCTTGCTTCATTATTCTAATTTTTAATTTGAAAGAATTTTATTTTGTACGAAATAAATTGTAAATTGGCGTCAATACTTGATTTGATTGTTGTGCGAGCACACAGTGTGTGTGTGTGTGTGTGTGTGTGTGTGTGTGTGTGTGTGTGTGTGTGCGTTCTTGCAACCAAGGGTTACCTGCGGCCACCGCTGCCCCCCACCCAGGAGCTGTCGACGGGCGGGGGCAGTGGCGTGGTGATGGTGGAGGTGGAGATGTCTCCTATGATGGCCAGGGCCTCCTTCAGGGCGTGGTGGGTCCGCAGCACCTCGTCCCTGCGCTGGCCCTGCTCCTGGGACTCGTCCATCAGGGCACTCTGGTCCCCGGCCGAGTACAGCTGGGCCAGCAGCTCCGCGTTGATGAAGTCCTTCACCTGCAGGGGGCAGCAGAGAGCCAGTGTTAGCTTAGTGGCCACCCTTCACTCTTATTCCCAAATTGTTTGATTTTTGTATGTATGTTTTATGTTTTATTCATGTTTGAATGTGTCTGGATGTGTCTTAAATTTATAATTGAAGGAGATTTGTTTTATATTGTATTTACTCTGACTTACTATGACCTTTGATATTTGTCAATATTTAGAAAATAAAAGCTCCACAAATAAATGAATGACAATTAATTGTCTTTCACTGTTGAGTGACGATAAAGTTTCCTAGTCAAATCTAATCTAAAATATATTATTTGCACACACACACACACACACACAGCACACGCTCTCTGGCTTACGTTGTTGATCATGAGGTGCATGATGGTCTTTGGCATGAGGTCGCGGATGCACTTGTTGACGATGGCCATGTAGGAGTCCACCAGGTTCCTGATGGTCTCCACCTTCCTCTCCAGCTGGGGGTCCATGGAGAAGTTCTCCGAGGTGGTGGAGCTCTCGCTCTCCACCTGCACCGACATCAACAACAGCACAGAACCCGTGTTAATGAGATAAGATAACACGGTGCTTCATTAATCCCAGATGGGGAATTTGGGTGGATCCTGGGAATTAAGAAATTTGAAAGATATTTGAGATTAAGAAATGTGAAATTAAGATTTTTAAAATTTAGAAATTGTACACAATTAACCTTGATATTCCAACTTGAGACATAGAAATTTGAATGTTAAAATATGTACAATGAACCAAAAGGGAAAAGGTTAATTGTTAGTTTTCGATGGAAATAAATCTGAATGGCCAGAAACATTCAAATCCAATATAATCATTGTAAGGTTTATGAGTTCTGGTCAAGTGTATCTCAGTTGGTAGAGCATGGCATTAACACTGCCAGGGTTAGGGGTTCGATTCCCACAGCTAAGAATGTATGCACAGTTTTATGGTTCTCAGTCTCACTTGTAAGCCACTTTGAATGAAAGCGTACACTAAATGAGTATCTAAATGTATGTTCTTAATAGAAATATTAAGAACATACATAATAGAAATAATAGATAATAGAAAATAATGTGTTTTTAACATATATTTTGAATAACGAATAAGCTGGAGATTCAGTTCAATAGGTATAGAATGTGCTATTATATTATAGTCTCCTATGGAAGTAATTCTGTTTCCATACCAATAGGTGTCAGTATTTAGTCCAAGTTAAGGGAATGACCTTTTGGGGAGAAACCGCATACTTGGCCTACTACTAAAAGCCCTTTAAAAGATTGCAGTGTCCATTATGTTTTGAACGAGTTGCTGTGGTAAGATTTGAACAGAGAAAACAAAGAAATCCTCTCAAGCTGAAAGTTGAAGGATAAACATCTAGCTGTTTACTTTATCTTTACTGAATTTACTCACTAAATAAACAAATCAGACTGTGATTGATGCAAAAAAGTACAATACAAACTAATTAAAATAGTGACCTAAAGTAAAAACAGGTTGAAAGGAAACACCTAAACTGAGGTATGAGATAAGATAACATATAATTAACCCCTGAAGGGAAATTCCAATGTTACAGCAGCAAAAAGACAAATCAAACAAGACAAAATCTAACAATACAAAAATAAGAATACAAATACAAATTGGAATACTCGCAATCTAGAAAAAGAAATTAAAAAAAGAATAAATTAATATAAAAGAAAACACAAATATGTATTTATCAACATAAAAATGTGCGTCAAGGTGCCGGCGGTGGAAACTAAGTGAGTCTCACATGACAGGCTGTGGGGCTGCCAGACGTGCCGTGGGAGTGTGTCAGCAGACAAAGAGAAGAAGGAGACAGAAAAAGATGAATGAAGGCGTGTCTCTCACCGTGGTGGTCTTCTCAGGGTAGACCCCCGCTCGGAGCAGAGATGACTTCCAGCTGTCCACGTCTTCCTGGGAATCGCAGGCCAGCTCCAGGGTGCGGTTGTCCTTGTAGACGTTTCTAGAAACACAGTCAGACACAAGGTTACCCACACACACACACACACACACACACACACACACCATCTCCTCTTTCGTGTTTCACCTGTCCTCCGAAAGCTCTCTTGAAACGCACCTTTTTACCAATTCTTTATTCATATGTTCATTATGTTTTGATGCTATAATGTTTTAATATGTTTTAACTGACTGAAAATGTATAAACTTATCAAATGTATAATGACAGATGTTTTATATTTTTGCTGTGGCTACTATGATAATGTAAAAAAAAATTATATTATTATTATTATTATTATTATTATTATTATTATTCACAGGAGGGGAACAGCCAGTGAAGACGTTCATGTTGTCGTGGAAGTGATCAAGGTGTGCTAAATCATTGTTTTTCATTTGTTTTATACAACCCATGCGAAACCACTTAGCGGAGAACAAAAAACCCCTCTTTCACGTCTGGCATTGCCAGACGTGAAAAAAACAGATATATATAAAAGAACAAAAGTGCAACAAAGGACAAACACACGCCAGCTCCGAGCGCTATAGCCTAGCTAGCGTCTTATTGGAGGGGTGGACTGTATGAATAGAAACTGTGTGCCGACTGCAGCGTTGTACTTTGATGCTC